CAGCATTTTGAAAAACCCTAACTTAACTCTGGTGCCGTGTCACATATAGAAATGTTTTGATATTTGCAACCATAGTAAAACAAAGATTTATATTTTTGATATTTATTTTATATACTTAAATGCCATTTAACAAAGAAAAATCAACCAAAATATGAGTTTGCATGTCACCTCTGACACACGTGTCATAGGTTCGCCATCACTGCTCTAGTACTTTAATAAAAATATTCAATTAAAAATCATTAGTAAGAGAAGAGCAAATTTTATACACGAAGATGTAAGGAGAAACACGATGAGGACAGGAGGAGGAGGGGCGACTGCTGAGACAAAAACCCAAGAAAATCCACAAAGCAACCCCCCCCCAATTCAGTTTTGAAAACATGGATCACACGAATAAATCCCAGCCTGAATGCCCGAGAGAACATGGGAGAATGCACACATGTCTAATACGAATGATGGAAGGGCAGACAGCACGACCCATCGTGCAGGCTTCAAAAACACAGTAGCAGGGCATCCTGAACAATTGGATGGCCATGTATTACACACGGCATTTAAAATGGACACCTTTGGGCACAAAATTTACTAAATGGGCACAGATGAGAAACAAATCTCTATCGCTGTCTACACCAAGCATGTCAAACTTGCGGCCCGTGAGCCGCATGTGGCCCACAACAAACATATTTTTTTTTTAAAAAAAGATTTTATTGATTTTTTACAGAGAGGAAGGGAGAGGGATAGAGAGTTAGAAGCATCGATGAGAGAGGAGCATCGACCAGCTGCCTCCTGCACACTCCCTACTGGGGATGTGCCCACAACCAAGGTACATGCCTTGACTGGAATCGAACCTGGGACCCTTCAGTCCACAGGCCAACGCTCTATCCACTGAGCCAAACCGGTTAGGGCCACAACAAATATTTTTGTGGCCCAGCCAATATAACGGTATGTACAAAATGTTTTAATAAAAATTTTGTAACTTAATTTTTACAATATCCTGTTATACATAATTATTAATAACGAATGACAACATTCGCTAATGACTGATGACTATAATCGTGTTGCATTCATTTCCCTTACGTGCCTTATGCGCCTGATGCACAAGGGCACCATTTCTCTCCGCTAATACCAGCAGCGAATATTTTAGTGGCAGATAGCCACGTCGTTAGTCTTGTACTGACCTGTTCGGTATATGCAACAGGAAATATTTCACTTTCAGAGAACAAGAAAAATAGGTTTATTTGCGTGACGCTTTTTAACCTGTGCAGTTCTTCAGTGTCTGGTAGGTTAATGTTCAATAAGAAATATTAATTAAAAATGTTCTATTATTTTATGTGAACGATGACTCATTTATTTTAGCCCTTTGTATTCATCATGTCTCTATCGAAATAAGCCTAAGTTTCCATGAAAATGGAAGCTTTTGTTTTTTTGCAGCCCACATACACTTAAACCTTGTTTATTTGGCCCGTGTTAGCCTTTGAGTTTGACATGCCTGCTCTATATGGATTAAATACAATGACTGTGTCATCCAAAATTGTTCCAGGCCCTGCAGGAGTGGCTCAGTTGGTTGAGTGACATCCTGTGCACCAAAAAGTTGCTGGTTTGATCCTAGGTGGGGGCATGTATAAAAGGCAAACAATGGATGTTTCTCTTTTTCTTGTTCTTCTTGTCCCTGACCACCTTCTTCTTCTTCTTCTTCTTCTTCTTCTTCTTCTTCTTCTTCTTCTTCTTCTTCTCTCCCTCAAAAATTGTCCACAACCAAAGTCCTCTGCAGGAAGCTTCCTTGGCGATTTCCTCCAAACATTTATGAAATGCAGGCACCCCCCCCCGAAGATTACACACATTTTTTTCAAGGGAAACAATAAGAAGAAACACATCCAAACACTTTCCATCAGGC